GAAGGAGGAGGAAATCTGCTGACAAATAGAAAGAGAAGATGCAGAAGCTACACATGAGCCATCAGGAATGACCGACAAAAGGAAAGTGCTTACCGGTACCTTCATTTTAAAGTCATCGCGATACAGTTTGATGCCGATGTCAGCGATCGCCCTTTGGATGAAACGGGACGGCCGCAGGACGAAGACCAGTTGTAGGTTCCCTGGAAACGCTCCCTGTAAGAGGCATGAACATTTTAGAAGGGGAGGGGAGGGGAGAGGAGAAAAGAAGATTGGTTTTATACCCCCCCCTTCATTTGGAGCCTCAGAGCGGCTTACAATCTCCTCTCCCTTCCCCTCCCCACAACAGACACCCTGTGAGGTAGGTGGGGCTGAGAGAGCTCTCTCGAGGACTGCCCTTGAGAGAACAGCTCTGAGCAGTGTTCCCTCTCAGCTGAGTTAGGGTGAGCTAGCTCACAGTTTTTTAGCCTACAGCTCACACATTTTTTGTCTTAGCTCACGAAGGAGGGCTCCAGAGCAAACTAATTTATGCATTCATTCATTCATTCATTCATTCATTCGTGTTATTCATTGTCCGCCTTTCTCACTGGGACTCAAGGCAGATTACAGAGAGAGAGGCAACACAACCGACAGATGGGACATTCAATAAACGAACAATGCCATAGGAATTAGGGCTGCAGAGGCAACCAGAAGTCTAAAAACAAAGCTGAAGCCAAGCCTAAGGATTAATATGACACGTTAAACGATGCAAAAATTCCATCGTAGGATCCCAGTTTCAGCAAGCTATGCACAGGACAGCAGTATAGACCACGGTCCCTAGTAACTTTGTAGAATCATTCAGTACAGTGCAATTCTGTGGCCTGCATTGAAAAGGCCTCTCGAATAGTTCAGTTTTGCATAGTTTGCAGAAAGCCAGGAGAGGGGGAGCTTTCCCGACCTCCTCAGGCAAGAGAAGGAGGAGGAAGAGAAGGAGGAAAATGAAGAGGAAGAAGAGTTGGTTTTATACCCCACCCTTCACTACCCGAAGGAGTCTCAGAGCGGCTTACAGCCTCTTTTCCCTTCCCCTCCCCACAACAGACAGCCTGTGAGGTAGGTGGGGCAAGGACTGCTCCTGAGAGAACAGCTCTGACAGAACTGTGGCGCACCCAAGGTTATCCAGCAAGTGGAGGAGTGGGGAATCAAACCTGGTTCTCTCCCAGATTAGAGTCCGCTGCTCCTAACCACTACGCTACAACAGAAGGTGGAGGACAGAACGGAAATTAACCCACAACACAGGAAAAGGAATGCGACATTTCCTTTGGGCTTCTGGAGAAAGCCCCTTTGGAATCTAGGTGTGGTCCTCCCACCCACCACATGCTGGTTGAAATGGAGAGAGGGTGGAAAGAGCTTTAAACGTGGCTCCCTTACAACACATTTCCTATCTGTATTTTAAGAGGTGAACACACACGAGGTGGCTAATAGCCACTGATGGACCTCTGCTCCATATGCTTATCTAATTCCCTTTTGAAGCCGTCCATGCTTGTAGCACCCACCACTTCCTGTGCAGAGCCTTCCTTGATGGCCTCCCTTCCAAGTACCAGGAGATCTTGGCCCCACTGGTGGACCTCCTGATGGCACCTGGTATTTTTGGCCACTGTTTGACAGAGTGTTGGACTGGATGGGCCAGTGGCCTGATCCAACATTGGCTTCTTTTAAGTTCTTATGTAACCCTGTTTAGCTTCCCCTAGCAAGGGGCTTTCAAGTCAAGTGAGAAGTAGAAATGGTTGGCCATGGCCTCCCTCTGCAGATCCTTCTTTGGTGGTCTCCCTTCCAAGTACCGACCCTGCTTAGCTTCCCCTAGCAAGGGGCTTCCGAGGCCAGTGAGAAGCAGAGATGGTTGGCCGTGGCCTTCCTCTGCAGAGCCTTCCTTGATGGCCTCCCTTCCAAGTACCAGGAGATCCTGGCCCCACTGGTGGCCCTCCTGATGGCACCTGGTATTTTTGGCCACTGTGTGACAGAGTGTTGGACTGGATGGGCCAGTGGCCTGATCCAACCTTGGCTTCTTTTAAGTTCTTATGTAACCCTGCTTAGCTTCCCCATGCAAGGGGCTTTCAAGTCAAGTGAGAAGTAGAAATGGTTGGCCATGGCCTTCCTCTGCATAGCCTTCCTTGGTGGTCTCCCTTCCAAGTATCAACCCTGCTTAACTTCCCCTAGCACGGGGTTTTCAAGGCTAATGAGAAGTAGAGGTGGTTCTTCCATGGCCTTCCTCTGCATAGCCTTCCTTGGTGGTCTCCCTCCAAAGTGCTGACCCTGCTCAGTCTCCGAGATCTGACAAGATCGGGCTATACCAAGCCTCCTTTCCTCCAAGTGTCAGACCAGGAAACGGGAAACCTGGGTTCAATCCACCACTTGGCTATGAACCTGGGGGCAGTGTCCCACTCTCAGCCTCACCAACCTCGCAGGGTTGGAGTGAGGATTAAACGGGGAAAGGGAGAACTGAGTACGCCACCCTTAGCCACTTAAAGGAAGGATAGGGATAGAAATGGGCAAGATGGATAGAACAGATCACCTTCTCTTGGGCCTCGTGAAAGCCATACACCTGTGCAAGCTTCATCGGAGCCAGGGCTATTTTTGGGCAGGAACGCACAGGAACGGAGTTCCAGTTGGCTCCTGAGTTGGCCACGCCCAGCAGGAACTCATTAGCATAGTAGGCCACACCTAACAGCATAAACTCATTAGGATTGGCTACATTAGGGGTGTGTGGCCTAACACGCAAAGAAGTTCCTGCTACAAAAAAAGCCCAGAGTTTTGACAACAAAGTAAACAGAATAAGAAGCAAAAGGTGGGTGTGCCTGGATGACCACAGTTCTGGTAACATGGGGGTGTGGCCTAATATGCTAATGAGCTGTGCTGCCAGGGGTGTGGCTTAATATGCTAATGATGTTTTCTGTTGGGTGTGGCCTATTATGCTAATGAGTTCCTGCTGGGCTTTTTCTACAAACCCCCCCCCCTGATCGGAGCCATCGTATGGAAGAGACCGGCATGAGGGCAGACGAGGCCAGGGGGCAGCAGGTCACTTTAGGCCACCTCCTGAGCTGTGGGTTACGATAAGACCTGACGGGGACCTTGGTGGCCCTTGGGAAGGCCAAAAGGCAGAGTATATGTTTTGCAAAATCAATCCATCAATCAGTTTTCATATGTCAGGCTTGTGGCTAAAGGCACAGCAGTAGGGCCAACTGGAAACAAAATATGACCATTTGGAGACCATTTGTTTGTCATCCATACTGGAGACTTTGATGGAGGGATGAGAGGAGGGGTCCCCGACGCGGCAGACACGGGGGCCACGTCGCCTGCCGACACCATTCCTGGTGCCCGCCAAGTGGATGGGGATTTGACCTGACGGCTTAGGCATGGGGAAGGAGAACCATCAATCCATCCGTAGCCGTCAGTGTCCCTTTGCTGTGTAATCGGGGCCTTCCCTCCCTCTTGGAGTGGAACCGTCTTGTTTTCATTCATTCACTACGGAAACAAGGCGGCGCCTGTCCTGACATCTCCTTTAGCAGGTCCTGAGCAATCAAAGAGGTCGGGAAGGGAATGTTCCCTATGAGCAACGAAAGCAAAGCAAAAAAACAAAAACCCAGGAATAGACATCAAGGATGCTAACAGCAGGAGAGAGAGGGAGAGACGAGAGGGACGGAGGGAGGGAGGGAGAGAGAGAGAGAGAGAGAGAGAGAGAGAGAGAGAGACTGACTTACTGCTATTCGCGTGAGGGACGCCTTGACCGCGCTCCATTTGTCCCGCCGTCTGTCTATAACGATGACGAATCCGATGCTGGCAGCCTCCAGACTGCAAAATATCCAAAGCAGGTATATGGGGTTACAGGGAAACAGACCCACGCCAAGCGACCGTACTGCAGTACAGCCACATCCTCCGTAGCAATCCCTGAGCTCATGACAGGCGACCGGGGTTGATGCTAGGGAGAGGTATGAATACGAGAGACCTGGAGCTGTGCTGTGGTGGAAGAGCCAAGCAAAATGCTTTCCCCCCTTTGCTTCCCCCCCCCGCTGCCTCCTTCCTCCCCCCCCCAGCTCCAGGTTAGCGGCTTCAACTAAGTAGGAATGTTTTATGGGCTACGTCTCTCTGGCTGTTTTCGCTGCAGCTGCCCTCCGAAATCTTGGCAACGGGGAATGCTTCGGGATCACAGACGTGCTTTTCGTGCTGGGAGAGGGAGAGTCTGTTCGTTTGGCAGGAAGCCGCCTTCCCAACAAGACACACACACCCCCGCTGCCCCACCTTGACCTCTCGTCTCAGCAGGGAATTAGGAATATGTTTTCCTGCCCCACTTGATATTTATTTATTTATTTTATTCCATTTATATCCCGCCCTCCCCGCACGCAGGCTCAGGGCGGCTTACAAGGCACAAGTGCAATAAAAATAAATAGATTAAAACAACTGAAGCTAAAAAATTCACAGCTCACTGGATACATGAAAGGCTAAAATTACACACTCTCCATTGTATATCAGGAGGAGGCCCGAGGTCAGAAGGGGGACGCCATGAGCCGCGATGTTCCAATTACTCCATCGGCCCAACCCGGCGGTCCTGCTCCACAATTATGCGGTGGTGGTAGTGGCGGGGGCAGACCCCACTCAAAAACTCAAAAGCCTGGCAGAAGAGCTCCGTCTTGCAGGCTCTGCGGAACTGTAAAAGGTCCCGCAGAGCCCTGATCTCCTCCGGGAGCTCATTCCAACAGGTAGGAGCCGCCACCGAAAAGGACCTGGCCCTCGTGGTAGCTAGCCTGGCCTCTTTAGGGCCCGGGGTCACCAGATGGAATTGTGACCCCGACCGAAGTGCTCTTTGGGGCCTATATGGGGAAAGGCGGTCCTGCCGCTGAGGCTGCTGGATGTCAACGTCTGGGCAGAAACGCTTGGGCGCATGATGCATGTGTGTGTAAAATCCAACACAGGTCAGCTCAAATGACACAGTCGGTTTCCAGATACCGACTGCACTGTTCAGGCCTCTGCACAACCGGATGACGTGGCGTGCATCCCCCCCCCCTTCAAATGTGATGCCTGACATGGATGTCCAAAGTGACAACAAAGACACGGTAATAAGACGCTAAATACATTAACTATGCTTAGTTTCTATATTTTGTGCAATTTTTTTTAATATTTATATATGCTAAAGCGTACAAAAATATACAACCATAACAGGGCTGGCCAAACTTGCTTAACGGAAGAGCCACATAGAATCAAGGCCAGATGTTTTGAGAGCCGCAAGACATGAACAAATATCACACGCCTATTTTTATTGGAAAATATGCAAATTTGCTTTTATTAATATTGATAACTTTAGATGGGGAGAGGAGAGAGAGAAAAAGGTGGAAAGAAAGAAAGAAAGTGGAATGAAAACAAATAGATGGGGGAGAGAGGGGAGAAAGAGAGAGAGAGAAAGGTGGAAAGAAAGTGGAATGAAAGCAAATAGATGGGGGAGGGAGGTGGAGGTGGAAAGAAAGCAACTTTAATGTTAAATGTGTCTTCCAAGTCCCCCTGCCCCCACGCCAGCCAGCTTGGCTTGGAGAAGGGATTTAAAGAGGCAAATGCCTTCTCCAAGCCGGCTGGCGGGGGGGGGGAGCTTTGAGAATGCATTTAAAGTTCAAGCTGCTTTCTTTCTCTGCACTGGCTGGGGAAGGGAAGACCAACTGGGGAGGCATGCCACCCCTTTGCTTCCCCAGCCAATGTAGCGGGACCCACATAATATGTGTGAAAGAGCCGCATGTGGCTCCCAAGCCACAGTCTGGCCACCCCTGAAATATAATATTCAAAAAACAATTACAATATGAATCAACACGGAAAGAAGAATCATTTGAAAGAAGAATCAGTCTGAAAGAAGGATCACACGAGGATCCCGGGTATAAATGCGCTCGTTTTGTTAAACTTCTTCAGTGACCCGATATCAATTATGACACAAATATATTTTCCTCTCCAAGGCATGTGAATGCCAGAGAGGTAGCAATCATTCCAAAGTAGTTCAATAGTTGTTTGCAAAATCTTATTCGTGGGGCACCAGTCCAAAGTAACAGAGTTGCTGGAAATTAACCAAAGACTTCTAATGCTGGTATATTTATTTATTTATTTATTTATTTGATTTAATGTATACCCCGAGCTCTTCCTGCCAGAGCAGGCTCAGGGTGGCTTACGGAAAGATAAACCATAAATAAACAATTATAACATACGTTGTCGAAGGCTTTCGCGGACGGAGTTCATGAGCTGTTGTAGATTTTCCGGGTTGTATGACTGCGGTCTTGGCATTGTAGGACCTGTGTGACACAGAGAGTCCTCCATCTTTCTGTGTTATACCTCTGAGGATGCCAGTCACAGCTACTGGCGAAATGTCAGGTCCTACAATGCCCAGACCACGGCCATACAATCCAGAAAATCTACAACAGCTAATTATAACATAGATAAAACCATCTAAAACGATCCAATGTCATAAAGTGCTAGCTAGATACAAACTAAATACTTAGAGAACATAAGAGACGCCAATGTTGGATCAGGCCAAGGGCCCATCCAGTCCAACACTCCAAGTCACACAGTGGCCAGAAATACCAGTGCCATCAGGAGGCCCACCAGTGGGGCCAGGACATTAGAAGCATATGGAGCAGAGGTCCATCAGTGGTATAAAGTTAAAAGTTATAAATAAAATTTATTTTAAAAAAAAAAAACCGGCCGTCTCTGACCATCCCCAGTGCCTGGAAGGGAACTGATCCTTTGTGGTGCTGGCAAGTGCCATTGAGTCACAGCTGACTTATGGTGACCCCATACGGTTTTCAAGGCAAACGATGTTCAGAGTTGTCTTCCCATTGCCTGCCTCTGCATCACGACCCTGGTATTCCTTGGAGGTCTCCCATCCAAATACTAGCCAGGCCTGACCCTGCTTAGCTCCCGAGATCTGATGAGATCGGGCTAGCCGGGGCAGACCCCTGACTTCCGATGTTGAGGGAGATCGTTCTAAAGTGATTAAGCAGAGAAACATCTTCTGAGCAATGTTCCCTCTAAGCTGAGTGAGTGTGAGCTAGCTCACCGTTTTTTAGCCTCCGGCTCACACCTTTTTGCCTTTGCTCAGGATGGAGGGCTCCAGAGCAAATCCCTCGCTCACAACTTTGATGCCAGCAGCTCACAAAGTAGGATCTTGAC